GGAGAAAGGTCAGGGGAAGGAGAGAAGCCTGATCAGCCATGGTTCGCCTCCTCCTCCTGCTCCTTAAACATGGAGGAAGTATGCACAGGAACTCCCGTGAAGGACTTGCATGCTTCATTATGAAAGTCACAATAATGCACACTTATACAGTGTCTGTTACAAAAAAAGATCTAGTTATTAAAGCTCCAGAATAAATGGATGTTCTAGCGTATTGTTGTATACTAGAGTAAATCCTGACGGCATGGAAGAATGGATTAGAGTAAGTCCTAATTACACATGATTATGTCATTAATTCATTCCCAAAGGGACCTCCCCACACATCTCCTCATTACAGAATAGACTGCTTAATTTATGCTAATGTCCTGAATCTAGCTGAACTGTGTATCTTGTTCTACTGCCCAGAACAGAAGGAATGACAAAGAAGGAGAACGGAACATGTAAGATAGGTAGGAAAGAGAGGGAAAAAAGAGAAAAAAGAAATTATGTGTGATGTGATGCCTATGTCATAGGATGACATAATTCTGCCCAGGGATCTTAAAGGTTAAAATAGAATAGGGTTCTGTCCTCACAGAGAAGCGAACAGTCTAGTGGGTCTGGAGGAGGAAACGCCTGGCAATGGAAAGCAGGAGGGAGACTTAGAAAGTTACCTGAACTATGACAGGAAGTTAGTGCTTTGTCCTGATAGCAACGGGAAGCCACATTTTTTATTTAAAATTCCCCATTTTATTAAAAAAAATTAAAGCAAAAGAATAATACAATAAATACCCTCTCCAGTTTCATTCTGCCACATTTGGTTTATCTCTCTACATCCTTATTGATCAATACTTTTATTTTTCCTGAAATGTTCAAAGATTAGATATTCTTACACTACTAGGATACCCTTAGCACATAGCTCCTAATCTTCTCTAAGGACAACACCATTATTATGCTGAATCCAACACCTACCTGCCTATGTGAACTACTACACAATCCAGGTTCACAAGGGAGTCAACTGACACCCATTTTGATGCATTTTCAGGTTTTCAGATTAGGGATACTCACCTGGTTAAGGTCTATAAAAATGTTCCCAAAATCAGGAAAACAAATCTGAAACATTTCTAATGTTAAGCATTTTGGAAAAGAAATACTCAACCTGCATTGAGGAAAACTCAATCGCCTATTATAATTAAGCTATTAAAACACACAGAACATATATAGTTATAGTTATGTATGGTGTCTGTTAAGAAAAAGAGACTACAGATTGGCTTTTAGCTAATGTCACCCAGTATTATGCTTATTCCCATACCATGATAGAATTCTTGGCCTGAAACAGCATCCTACTGTGTAGGAGAATCCACTTTCACTTGGAAGTCATCAAGTTGTAGCTTATAAATAGTGAATACCTTAAATAACTGATAGATACAATAAACTTTAAGACCCTGAAAAATGGGTGGTAACAAAAAGTCATACCTGAGTGAAAATATTATGTGTTTGGCTTAAAATCCACCTGGCATCAGCATCAGGTGCTACGAGTAACTTCAATGTCCCAACATAGACATCAGAACATAAAGTCCAGAAGTGTTGTTCTTGTAAACTGTAAACTCCTTGTAACTGCTGCACCTGAAATTCAAGGGCAGACATTAACATCAAAACCAAGTGTTCCCCCCTTTAACTTATTATGCAATGCATCAGTAAACACAGACTCTTATCTTGTAGTTGAAAGGAAAAAAAGTGCAGTGACTCACACCAGTGTCAAGCTACTTAGGAGGCAGAGATTGAGAGGATTTGTGTCAAGGCCAGCTCAACGCAAAAAATTACCAAGACCTTACCTCAGAAAATAAACTGAGCATAGTTAGTGCCACCCTGTCGCCCTAGATATGTGGGAGGTGTACACTGAAGGACTGCAGTCCAGCTTTGGCCTGGCCAAAATCTCAACACCTTATCTGAAAAGTAACTAAACCAAAAACAGGTGGTAATGTGGCTCAAGTGGTAGAGAGCCTTCTGTAAGAGTGAAGCCCAGAGTTCAACTCTCAATACCAACAACAATAACAACAACAAAAGATGTTTGCACTGACAAATAACAATAGAGAACATTATTTTCTTCTTATTTATTTTTGGTGAGTTAGAACTTAAAAGCTTCAGGTTTGCTAGGCAGGCACCCATAATAATTTGTTCTTTTTTTTTTTGTCAGTCGTGGGGCTTGACCGCTGGGCCTGGGCACTGTCCCTCAGCTCTTCAGCTCAAGGCAAGCACTCTACCACAGCACCACTTCTGGTTTTCTGGTGGTTTATTGGAGATAAGAGTCTCACGGGCTTTCCTGCTCAGGCTGGCTTTGAACCACAATCCTCAGATCTCAGCCTCCTGAGTAGCTAGGATTACAGGCGTGAGCCACCGGCGCCCGGCTATTCTTGCTGCTTCTTTGCATGTTTTGGCAGTACTGGGATTTGAACCCAGGGCTTCACACTTACTAGGCAGGTGTTTTACCAAGGTTCTTTCTTTCAGTTCTGTTAGCAGACATACTAATGAATAATTCTTGCAGAAAGTGGTCCCCGTGTCCTTCTCTCTTCCACAATCCTAGTCACTGGTCTTGCCTTCAAGGTTAACAAAAGATCTTAAAGAGATTTTCTGATAGTTTCTCCATTTTCCTGTAGCATTGTAATCTTCCTGAATGATATCACTGCTTTTTCAATAAAGAAAAAATAGAAGCCACACAAAAATCTTTTGTCACTGTCTGCTTTCCTCTTTCCACTGTCTGCTTCTATTTGTAACGGAACCTTCCAGGAAGTGTGGGTATGTCCTTGCCCTGTCAGGAGCTCCACTCCTTCATCAATGTCCTGCAGCTTGATCAGTTCCTCCGCTTACTCCCTCACCCCCAGCACCACTATTATCATGATCTAGAACTCTGCTCTCCAATACATAGCCACTAGACATGCATTAATTAATTTAAGAAAGGCAGTTATACCAGCCACACGTGGCATCAATTCTATATTGGACAGTGCAGACACAGAACAGTGTGGACATAGAATATTTCCATTACTGGGAAAAGTTCTATGGGATGATGTTTATCTGAAATATTCTATTTTAAAAACAAGTAAATACTTCTTCTTGTGAAATGATACCAATATCTAGCCTAGGAACTCATGCCTTGGCCTCCATTAATGATGACTAAGCAAGCTGTCAGGGCTGGAGGCTTAGCTCGTGGTATTATACCAGCCATGAGAAAGCCTAGAAAGTGTGGGGCTCTGAGTTCAAACTCCAGTACTAACAAAAAAATCTGTTTAAAATTGTTATTGTTATCATAAAGGTGATGTACCAAGGGGCCACAGTTACAGAACTACATTATCTCCCAGAGTAATCTCAGCAATTCTTTACATGTTATCCATATGCTGATGACTGGGTTTGCTAGTCCTAATCCGTCCCCCAAGTCCCAGATTTGCAATTCCATTGCCATTTCCCTGTTAGAGCAGGCAGTTCAATATAAAATACCCCAACTACAACTCTTGATGGGGGACTGTCCACCCCCCTCCAAGCAAGCACCAACCTAGCCTCAACCTCAACAAGTAGCATTAGTGCTCACCAAGCTGTGAGGCAACACCTTTCTCCCACTAGGAATCCACTACCCAGAGAACATCCTGAATGTCCACATCCATCTTCACTGCCACCCCTACAGTCTCAACCACCATTTTGTTTTCCTCACTTAAGATGGCAATGGTCTCCTGACTGGTTTTCTCTGCTGCCTGTAATTTGTTCAATACATAGAGGAAAAATCATCTTATAGACACAAGATCCATGACACTCCGCCTACCCAAAGGCTCCTGATGCTTCTCATCAAACCAGAGCTGAGTCTAAGTCTTAGTGTCCAAGGCCTCCACAGAACGCACTGCTGCCCCTCTCTAACCCTTCAAGCCACTCCTCCCTTTCTGCATCATGCCTCTGCCACTGTGGTCCTCTTTCCTTCAAACACACTAACTTAGCTCCAGCCATAGCCCTTCCAGGTTAGTGGTTTTCTTTCTGGAACGTTCTTCTTCAGGGTCCATCCATGGCTGGCTTCTTCTTGTTTCAGTTTCTTGAATACGACTTGTTCAGCAAGTCCACAGTAGCCATCCATGCCGATCCCACCGCCTTGCTTGCTTTCTTTTGCAACTATTATGAGTGATATTTTATCTATCAACTCATTTAGTGTATTCCTCATTAGACTGTGAGCTCACGAGAACAGAGCTGGCATCTGTCTGGCTTAGCATTATTTCCTCAGCATGAAGACTATCTGGTACACAGTGAGAACTAAAACCAATTATGATGAGTAAATAATTATTTCTTCTGCTGTCCATATTCTCTATTTTAAAAGAACTGCTTAATTTCTAGATGTGGAAACATTTTGCTACATTTTCATTAGTCAAACTCAGTATTTTCCATTGATTTTTATTATGGTTTGTATAAATGGCATTTGTGGTCAGCATTTAATCTTGGAAGGAAGACTAAATTATACACGTATGTGACCAATATTTATAGAAACTGAAAACAACATAAAACCCATGGTTAGAAGCTATGAAACTTACCCTCTGATAGCACTGAGGCAGAGAATTTTCCAACAGGGGAGGAGTTCTCTGCATTAATATTCCAACAGATTCTCTTAAAAGAGGAATAACACTAAGGAAAAGACAACAAATGATCAAGGCCACATTCTGACAATCTCATTTGGCAAAACAGTAAGAGTGTTCTTTCTTATAGTAAAACAAAGCAGTATTTATCAGACTAATAAAAAGAACCACCAGTCAATGGTATAGATTTTTCAATGTGACTATAAGTTATCAACTAAAATAAAATAAGAGAAAATAGATCAATGTACAAAGGACCAAACTTATTATAAATAGAATAATGAATCATTTAAGTCTAAAAACAGCATGAGTTCAACCTTCTCAGGTAAGGACATCCTACTTGAGTCCTTCATATTAATCAAATATGTACATGCAAATTACCTTAATCATTTTGTAAAGAAAAAAATAAAATTCACGTTTCAGTCAACTTATTGAATATTTCTCATCTGTGGTTGGTTAGCATTCATACATAGTTTATTATTTAAAGTATACAGGAACTGGATATGAATAGCTCGCACCTTAGTCCTAGCTATTCAAGAGCTCTGAGGATCATAGTTCAAAGTCAGCACAGGTAAGAAAGACTAGACTCTCCAATTAACCATCAAAAAGCTGGAAGTAGAGCTGTGGCTCAAGTAGTGGAGTACCAGCCTTGAACACAAAAACTCAGGGACAATGCCCAGACCCTGAGTTCAAGCCCAAGCTCAAGCCCAACACACAAACAAATAGGAATTTTGGCTCTATCTACAGATGTAATAAGGTTAGCATTTCTAAAAAGAGGACCCTAAAAACGGTGTTAATGTAATTGGTCTTCAAGCCTGCTGCTTTAGGTTGTATGGGTGATTAAATGTACAAAATCCAACAGTATAATGGTGACTTGTCTCTAATGCAGTATCTTTCTAATATAGCTAAGTATCAGATTCACCCAGCAGTCTTGCTTGCTTTGTACTCTGACAAACTGAATCAGAATCTTTGAAGGAAAAGACCTAGGCATCTATGCACTGACAAAGATCCCCAGTGACTGCAATGAGTCACAGTGGTAGCAAAAGCTCCAGACTGAGTTGAAGGCAGAAGTACCTTCATGCCCCTTAGTAGCTTAAGCTAGTATACTACTTTTGAACCCTACGGAATCTCAAATTGCCCAAAGTACAATTCGCTTGATAACAGCTGTGGAATATCTATCTTATAGAAGACTGTAAGTCAAACTGTGCCTTAAGAATTAGTGGTGGGGCTGGGAAGGTGGCTCAGTGGTAGAGCACTTGCCTTGCATGCCTGAGGCCCTGAGTTCGATTCTTCAGCACCACATAAGCAAAAAAGAAAAAATCCAGAAGTGGTGTTGTGGCTCAAATGGTAGAGTGCTAGTGTTGAGCTGACGAGCTGAGGGACAATGCCCAGGCCCAGAGTTCAGGCCCCATGACCGGACCCCCCCCCAAAAAAAAAAGAACTAGTGGTATTTCTGACAGGTGCAAAGAAAAGATAAAGTAGTAATTACCAAAAGGAACAGAAATGATGTTTGTACTTCCCAATATCATATTCCCAGTACCCTAGTAAAATACTGGTCACTCGGTAGACCCATGGTAATTGTTGGTGAATGAATAAAAGATACACAGATATCAGGTACTTTAGGTCAAAGAAAAGAAACTAGGAATCTGTTCTCATACTTAAGTATAGGTTTTTGTGTAATTTGTTACATATCCATTGATAATGAAGGCAAAATTCTTTATAGAAGTACAGAATAATCTATTCAAAATAGGGAGACTGAGGCAGGATGAACAAGAGCTTGTGATGAGCCTGGGCTACATAGCAAGATCCTGTCTCAAAATAACAACAGAGAAGCAATGCTGTCTATGACAATATTATTCTGCACAGGAATCACGAGGTAGTTCTCCTCTCACTGCACAGTGAAAACTACTTTTAAGGGGTGAGCTGTGTCTTTGTGTTAGTGTCTCCAGGATCTCAGGCAGTGTTTGGTACATAAATGTATACGGAACAGAATTTATAGCTGACTGAATCACAGATAGTTAATTTTTTAAAAGTACACTCACGGCCCAGGGTCAATAATAAACCTTTTAGAACACATAGGATTTTTAGCAGTTAGAGAAAAGGCATAACAAGCAAATACATCTGGAGAAACAGGAAAAGACTTCTAACAGAAACAAATGCCATAATGAAAGAGTTTTTCCAGATGAGTCAAAGCCAGGATGGAGAAAGTTAAAGGAAAAATAGGTAGAAAGCAGACAGAGGTTAGAGTTACAAATTCTGATAGTAAGGACTTGTTATTTACCCATTTAAACTGAACAGGAGTACCTGTTTCTATGTTCTGTGATATTATTAGACAGGTGAAGATTTCTGGGCAAAATGCACACACACATATAAGCCAGGAGCTGGTGGCTCACACCTGTAATCCTAGCTACTTAGGAAGCTGAGAACTGAGGAACACACTTCAAAGTCAGACTGGGCAGGAAAATTCTGTAAGACTCTTATCTCTAATTAACTACCAAAAAATTTCATATTTCCCTTTGGTTCCTTACTGTACTTCTTATGAGGCCCAAAATAACTTTCCATTTGAGATTAAGAAAAGTAATTTTTCCTAATCATGTGCCTCCTAAATTTAGGTATTCTGATGATTTCAAATTTTATCCAAAGAAAATGCTAATAATTGCTAGATATATGAGATGGAAATCACACACAAATAAAAATCATGATATCTGAGTTCTAATTCTGCCTGTAAATATCCTTTACTGATAGCTTTGAGGAAATCACATCACCTCCCAAAACAGCATTTTTCTCTTCCATAAAAGGAAGAGATTACATATCCAGGCAATTTTCTCTATTTAAATATTTCTCATTCAATATGAAAAAGTGGCCAAACCACAGGAAACCTAGGGAGAATATAGAGAAAGGGGGGGGCAAGAGAGAGAGAGAGAGAGAGAAGGGGGAGAGCACCTTTAGATACTAAAGTAGTATCATCAAAATGAGACAATAGACACTTGGCAAGCCAATTCACTCCATCACCAACCAATACTGAATTTCATTGCAGCAATCAATACAACCAACAATTATTAAGCACCTATAAGATACTAAACACAGGACCTACTTCAGAGTTGTATGGCAACAACTGGACATAGCTACTGCCATCCTGAGTCATAAACACCATGATTAGCCCTGAGTAGTCCTAGCCAGGGTGTGCACTTGACAATTATCCTAAAAAGTAGTATGTGGGACTGTACAGTTGGACCCCAGGGATGCTCCCACTCATTACTGATTTGGCTATTTTGTGAAATTCAGACTGTTGCCTCCTTAGGTAAAAATTAGATAAAGCATATTCAACAGCAGCAAGCACTTCACCATAGCACATGGACATTCCCCATCACTTTTGTCCAATAGCGATTTTAAAATACTGTAAGAATTTCAGCTGTAAGAGCCACACTAGGTCTGACAGCTGCAGAAGGTGTTTGCTCAATCCCATGATGACATCTTCAGAGCTAAGACCAGTTTCCACAGTGATTTCAAAGACCATAAAAGGTAAAAGACACTGGTAGAAACTTAAGCTTTTGACTTTCAAAATTGTGTCTAGCTTGGGATCTTGTGTCCATATTTTTCTGATTAACTATCGTAATGGGAAATTATAGAAGAGATTTCGGCATGGATCTATCTAGCCATAATGAAAGGATATGCAGAAAAAGACAAGCTTAGCAAATTCCTGACTGAGCAAAGACTGAGAGCCACATCCAAACCCAGAAAGTAAGCATTTGGCAACAATTAGAGGTTCGCTTTTGGTTGACTAACTCAATTCTAACTCTCACAATGAAGCACTATTTTCCTACTATATATGAAAAGGGATGAGTCATTAGGTCTGAGGTTACCAGTCACACAAGGTAATAATTTTATTCTTCAAGAGCTGAATGTAAAGCCAATTTATAATCATCTGCTAATAGAGCGAACTAATCTAAAAGCTTAAATTATATATTAAACAAGCAACAGTTATTTAGTCTTTATTGTCACTAACTTTGTAAATGAAAACAAATTTAAATCTTTTGCTTCAGAAGTAGCTTTCAAGATGCTCACCATATTTCAACAAAAAATAAAATTCTCTAACAGCAATCATAAACAAGGCAAATAAAAAAGACAAGTATACATTATAAAAACTTTGGAAGGACAATTAGACTAATGTCGACAATCATAATTTCAACAAAAACTTTCCACTTAAATTACTGTCTCGAGCCAGATGTCTGTAGCTCATGCTAGTAATCCTTATTCAGGAGGCTGAGATCTGAGGATTCAGGTTTGGTATCAGCCTGAGAAAGTCTCTGAAATTCTTATCTCCAATAAACCAGCAAAAGGCCACAAGTGGAGGTGTAGCTCAAATGGTATGGCACTAGTCTTGAGCAAAAAACTAAGCAAGGACAAGTGGAACTGAGTTCAAACCCCAGTAGTGGCACCAATTTTTTTTTAAAAATCTAAAATTTGAGACCAAACATCCAAAACACAACTATTGATTGAACTTGTGAACTGGCTTATGTATTAAGTGCTCCTGCATATTATAAAGATTTCTTCTTTTTCTTTTTTTTTTTTAATTTTATTTTTTTGGGTCCGGTCGTGGTACCTGAACTCTGAGCCTGGGCACTGTGCCTCAGCTCTTCAGCTCAAGGCTAGCACTCTACCACTTGAGCCACAGCACCACTTCCGGCTTTTTTCTTCTTGCTTATGTGGTGCTGAGGAATCAAACCCAGGGCCTCATGCATGCAAGGCAAGCGCTCT